GTCCACGGATATCGACGTCCCCGTCACAGGCTAAAGACCCACGCAAACAAGAGACGACGAACGGATCTTGTGTTTATTTTTAAGAAAGTTATAATTTTTATTTTTTTTTTATTCGAATTCATTTGTAACGTTTGAAGTTTTAATGAAACCAATGATGAATGCAACTTTTGACGAAAACAACAAGCTCAAGAGCTTGATATAATTGTTGCCTCTCTTAAAAATTGTGTTTTGATTTGTTGCTTTTGAATTCATTATAATTCACCTATATGATGATATTTATATGTTACATGGTCCCTTTGACTTGATGATAGAGAGTTCAAATTGTTACATGGTCCCTTTGACTTGATGATATTGTTATTTTCGATTTGATAATTTAGTATGCTTTGATGTGATGGTTAAGCTTGTTTAGCAAGCGCTACACAACCTGAAACATTGTGTTGCTAAATTTCATTTAGAAAAATGATGGATGTCTATATAGGATACAATATGCTTATTATGATGAGTTAATTTATTACGCATTACTATGAAGCTATTAAATTCCTGTCGGCAAGTGGTTTTGAAAATATTTTAAAAAATTATTTTCTTATAAAAAATAAAATATTTTGATGTTCCAAAATAGTTTTTATTTATGTTCATGGGAATTGCAAATTTAGGCATGAGCAAATAGGTGAGTTGTCCTGCTTAAAAGAGTTGCCTAAAATAAATGATACTAGAAGAGATTGAATGTAAGATATTATTTATTAATAATTAATCTCATATTATGGAAGAGCTTTTATGAACAATTGGTCGGATAGGGATATGATTATTAAATTAAAATTATTAATTTGATTAATAATTAGTTCTCGATATGGGACCCAATTGGTCTCACTAATGTCATTAGAAGAGGTATACATGCAATGCAATTCTATTTCTATCCTTAATTGTTATGGATAAAGTTTTTAAATAAATCTATTTCTATCCTTATTTGTTATGCATAAAGTTTTTGAACAAATCTATTCTATCCTTAATTGTTATGGATAGAGTTATAGATAATTATGAATTATTTAAAGTTAAAATCTCTAAGACTAGTGTAATCCTATAAATAGGGTTCATATGTAGCCTTATGAGAGTAAATAGAAGAGATTGAAAACCTTATGAAGATAATATGAAGAAATAGATTTTTGAGAACCTATCTCTCAGTATTGCTCCTCTACGGTGACGGGTGGATTTCAATTGGAGGCTTTTTCTCTTGAGAAAACTATTTTGGATTGATCTCGGGACAGATTATTGTAGAAATTCGGAAAGCGTTTCAGGTATTCTTCTAATATTTAATTAATTTTGATTAATAGTCATGATATGTTTTTTCCGCTGCGTTGTATGTCATGATTCCAACAGATGGTATCATAGCGGGTTTAGAATCCAATATGTAATAATTTAATAAGATTAAAATATTTTTTTAATTCGGGTTACTGTTCATCGGTGACACTGTTCATGGCCGAGAACACTGTTCGCCGGTACTGTTTACCGCCAAAAACACTGTTCATCGACGGTACTGTTCGTGGTCAAGAACATTGTTCACCTGTGGTACTGTTCACCACCGAAAACACTGTTCATCCGGCACGGTTACTGCTCATCGGGTTACTATTTATCTCAATTTAATTTGTTAAACTGAAATTAATTAGATTAACTTAAAAGTTTGATTAGATCAAACTATGGTGTTGTTGTTCAAGGGTTATGATTATTTTGATTAAGATCAAGATTAGGGCTCCGGTTACTGTTCATGTTCTCGGATTACTGTTCATCCGCAAAAAAAATTATTTGTTTTTGATAGAGATCAATTGAGGGTTTTTGATATGATCATGTTTATGTTTCTTTGATTTGATCAAGTATTTTAGTTATTTATTTTGATTAGATGTGATCTAATTGGGTTCTTTATTAAAAAAGAAAAAAAAACCTTCGCCACCGCCGACGGTGGCCGCATCGCCGACGGTGGTTGGCCACCCGCCAGACAACCCGCCACCGGCCATGGGTGGCGGCGGCGACCCCAAACCCTAGCAAAAAAATCGTAGACCTAAAAACTTCCTTCATGGGTTGAAGGAGAAATTTAATGGGTTTACAATTCTTAATGGGTTTTGAACCTAATTCCAATAAGAAATAGGATAAGAGCTAATGGGTATTGACCCATTTCATATAAACCCAAAACCCAAAATGCTATTATGAATAGGATATATTATAACGGGTCTGACCTGCAAACAGAACCAGACCCGAACCCTATTAGTTTTGAATTTTATTGTAAAATTAATCTGAGACCCCTGACTGACCAAGAATTGTTCTGAAGTCCATCAGATTCTCAAACACGCTATAAAATTAGTTATAGCTCCCTGAAAAACCCAGAAACTGTTCTGGAGTCTGTGAGTATTGATGAATTGCTATCAGACCCCTGTTTGATTCAGAAACTGTTTTGAAGTCCACCAGTATTAATGAATAACTATAAAATTAGTTACAGACCCCTGTTTGATCCAGAAATTGTTCTGAGGCTATTAGTATATTAAATTTTGATGTGAAATTAGCTTCACCCTCCTGATTGATTTTGAAACTGTTTTAAGATCCATCTGAATATATTGACTAATTTTCTGATTAGTCCCTAATACTTGTAGAATTTGTTCTGAAGCCCATATATATGTATAATTTAGTTTCTTTTATCGAAAAGATTATCTAACTCTTAGTGAATTGTTAGAAATAATATTGTATCATGTATATTTCTGAAATATTATTTGTATTATACTTGTGATATGATCATGTTGATTTTAAATTTTTTAAATTCAATAATTCATGTGATTAAAGTAATACATGAAAAAATACTGTAAGGTGCAGAATTGTTCTGAATTTGTTTTATTAAATAAGACAGTTTAGAATTTATTAGAAATTTACTGTTGTTATTTTCTCTCAGTTATAATAAATAACAAAAGTTGTATAGAAGTGTAGATAGATTAATTTTTTAAGAAATATAAATCTAAAGGTCTTCCATCATAGATATATAACTTAGATAATAATTTTTTAACTTATCTGATGCCACAAAGGATAGAGTTTGTTAAAATTTATTATCTAGTTATACATCGCATAAGGATGCCAAGTATTTTATGTATAGTGGAACCACTAGACTAAAATAGGTAGTGCCACCTGTTTTATATAAAATAGCTGGATTGATGGGTTAACACTTCATTGATGTCTTGGGGTGCTCGCTAAAATAGTGGGGCACATCTTACATAAAAAACCAAAATTTAAAGGAAAATCGTTAATTGTTAATGATTGAATAGATGATTCTACCTTGTTTAATTATATTCGATCTTGAAAATCTGGAGGTTTATAATTAAACTTGGATTTCCTGTTCACATTTAAATAAATGAGAGAAATGTTAAATGTGAAATCATTACTTAAAATATCCATGTAATGATTGTACAATAATAAAATAATAACTTACAATATTTGTGTTATTATATTCTGCTTGTACATGATGACTAAATTTTGTCATTTTGATATGTTATTGAATGATTATAAATTAGATAGCCCGAACTATTGGATTAGAAAAGAAATCTATTTAATTTTCAAATGCTGAATGTTTGGCCTATGATTGTCTAAGGAGACATACCCGCTTAACCAGATGTAACTGATGATAAAGATCATCAGTCATAATCCTGTTTAAAGATAATAATGATAAAAGTAATGTTCATAAGATGAAAATAGATATATATATTTTTTCATAAGATGTTTTGATATATATCTACAAATTAGATTTGTTGGAAGTTAAGATCGAAACCAAACGTTGATGTGATATTTACTTCCTAATCTCACTCCTTGTTTAATTTAACTACCGTTGTATTAGAATTGAACAACTTGTTAAAGAAAAAAATGAAAAGAATATTATTAAGCAGATTAAATCCATAATGATGGATATCGAACTGGACTGTCCAGTATTAAGAAAAGAAAATTTTCTTAAGAGAGAAATCTAAAAGGTAAAATAGGTTTCTAAACACGAAGCGGAAATTTAAATAATGAAAGTCATTAGAAAAGAAAATTGTAAATGTTACATTATGTCACTTAATAAAGAAATGTCTTTTGAAGACAGTTCACCCATTGATTAGTAGAGTCTACTAATGTGAATGATTTTTATATATGATGTATTCATTCTAGTTTATCTTTACATACTTACAAATTTGTTGTAAGAGTACATGAAAAGATTAACTTTGATAATCTATCTACCCTTTAAAAGAGCCAGTACCTGAAAAACTTTCCCCTCCCCAAATTAACCTTCAACCAAATTAAATATACCCAATTTCTCCCAGCGATACAGAAAATTCGACATCAACTTCGGAAATTTCTCATGTCGGTTACTCCTTCCTCTCCGCCGAAGCCGAAGTGTTGATCGTTTTACCTTCTCCGACGAAGCCGAAGCGTTTCCAAAGATGAGTATTATTCATCGGTTACCCTTCTCCGCCGAAGCCGAAGCGTTACAGAGATTTGCAAAGCTCAGTATTTCTTCAGAATTTCCGCTTTCATCTCCACAATTTTTAGAATTTGGTTATTCAGAAAGGTATTTCTTCTTCGTCTTCACTCCTCTATATAAAACCCTAACTCCCCCTTTTAGTTCTTCAGTCCTTAAATTCAGTCCTTAAATTTTGATATAATTTTGCCCTAATTTTACTCCCCCTTTTAGTTCTTCAGTCCTTAAATTCAGTCCTTAAATTTTGATATAATTTTGCCCTAATTTTCGCAGGAACACCACAACAAAACCCCGCACCCTCCACCGCGATCAGCTCACCGCGGCTTAAACTCACCACCCGGGCCCCACCCCAAAGGAAAAGCACTCTCTCCCAGCTTTTAGATCCCCTTCGCTCCGATCACCTAGATCTCTAATGGCGACTCTAGAGGACATCGGAGTCTCAACCTTCATCAACATCCTCGGCGCCTTCGCCTTCCTCCTCGCCTTCGCCATCCTCAGGCTCCAGCCCGCCTTCGCGCCTTCGCCTTCCTCCTCGCCTTCGCCATCCTCAGGCTCCAGCCCGCCTTCGATCGAGTGTACTTCCAGAAATGGTACCTCGCCGGAGCTCGAAAGAGCCCGCGCCACCGCGGCGACGCCGCCGGCGGAGGCGTCGTCGAGAAGTTTGTGAATCTCAACATGAGGACGTGCTTCACGTTCTTGAATTAGATGCGGGAGGCGCTGAGGATAAGCAAGAATGACCTGATCCAGCATGCGGAGCTCGATTCTGTTATCTTTTTGAGGATCTACATTATTAGGTAATTTTTGCGATTTTAAGGATTTTTTAATAAAGATTATAAGTGTAATTTTCGTCGAGATTTTGGTATTGAAAAGAATTGGTGAGAATTTTGGCTGGAATTTTCCTTAATTTTTGCGGAATTTGACTATGAGTAATGTAATCCATTGTTGAATTGAGCATTTTGCGTGAAGGATGGTGAGAAATTAAGCTAAATATTAGAATCTTAATTAACGGTGTAGTTTGTGAGCATTTTGCGTGAAGGATGGTGAGAAATTAAGCTAAATATTAGAATCTTAATTAACGGTGTAGTTTGTCAACTTGTTGGAAATATGAATTAGTCATTTTAAGCTAAATATTAGAATCTTAATTAACGGTGTAGTTTGTCAACTTGTTGGAAATATGAATTAGTCATTGGCTAAATTTAGTAGTACAGTGGGAAATCAAGCAATTGGGTAATGTTGGTGATGAATGCTGCATTTCACCCGATTGGTACCTTTTACGGCAATAAAACGGTTGATTTCTGAGATAAAACAATGCATTTGCTTACCTCATGATTTTATGACTATTAAATTTAAAGCCTGGTTAGTATGGCAGTCTGTTCGGGTCTCATAGAAGGCCTTTCGACTACTCTAGAACTAAGAAGTTTCGATGATGGCTGAGGTTTATAATTTTTCCTCTAATATGCATGCAGATTGATTTGAATTTCCTTTTCACGGATCGAAACCTGGACTCACGTAACATTTTTTTTTTAAAAATTGCTTTAGATGTGCCTTATATGGGATTTGAACCTGGGTTGCTTTGGTTAACATTAGAGGCCCCTCCCGCCCATTACTCTATAACTTTGAAGTTGTGATGAGGGTCGAGGTTTATAATTGTTACTTGTCAATTCATATTTTAGTTGGACGCCAGTTATCTAGATATTACGCCAGTTGTCTAGATATTTTCGTCTATGGTCTGAGTTCATTAGTCATATATTCTGCAGCACATCTTGCTTCAAAAGAACACATACATTATTATTATTATTTTGTTTTTTTTACGGTGGTAACGGTAGTTGCAGTATTAACTTAATTTTTAATTTTACAGCTTGAAGATCTTTGTACCAATGACAATCCTAGCTCTGTTAGTTCTTATTCCGGTGAATGTATACGATGGGACATTGAAAAATATTCACAAAGACATAGTTTTCAGTGGCATTGATAAGCTCTCAATTTCAAATGTTAGGGAGGGTTCTCAACGGTAAGTTGCTTTTCTAAAGTAAATACTTCTATCTAGAATAATAGCCACTCTTAAATTATTGTCTTCTTTGTTTTGCTTTCATGATTTTTTATTATTCTGCTCACAATGTGGCATGCGGTGGCGAGTATCAAAATTTACAGATAATTTCCTTACTTTGACCAGAAAAAAGGTTCATCAAAACGGAGTATCTAAGTTAAATCCCTGTCTTACTTGCTTTATGTGCCAGTTTATTTGTTTGACTTCCGAGGACTTTCCATTTCCAGTTTAATTACTACTATGGACTTAATATAATTATTTTGGTTATAATTTAGGTTCTGGTTTCACCTATCAATGGCATACTTGTTCACCATATGGACTTGCTACGTCCTTTATAAGGAGTATGGACATATAGCCTTCATGAGATTGCATTTTCTAGAAGATCAAGATCGTCGTGCTGCTCAGTTCACTGTAAGTACGGGTTAAGTTCACTGTAAGTATGAGCTTGCCACTTGTTGAGTGATCGTCATCCAATGGTTTAAATAAGTTCATCTTGATCTAACTATGTCTACTATGATTTGACTTGAAATGTTGAAACATAAGTTTGATCTCATGTTGCACCTTTGTACAAGTTAATCATTTACAGTAGTCACTTACTACTTCGAATTTATGATTTAGTTTGTTCATTTATCTATTTACAGGTAGTTGTCAGAAATATCCCACATGTTTCTGGGCAATCTATATCAGAAAGCGTGGATCAGTTTTTTCAACGGAACCATCCTGAACACTACCTTGGCCACCAGGTAATAGATGTTTCTCATGAGAAGTTTACTATCCTTATAGTGTTTATAAATATCAAATTTCTCTTCCCTTATTGACAATTCCCTACGTGTTAGTTTGCTCTTGAATTATTTAGTAACATTCCCTTTCTTCATCCAACATGTAGAAAACTAAGTCAATAATTATTTCTAACATGTTAAACTATTGGTTGAACTGGTTTTGATGACATATATGACAAATCAATTCTCAATTATTCCAATCAAACACATTTAACAAGAATATAGTAAAGGTTCCTTAACTTAAAACTTGTTTCATCGAGAAAAGCCATGATCCAGAGGATCTTCCTCTAACCATGATAGTTCTTCTAATCTTACTACTGATCCATCTGATTCTTTGGTATGTCAGAAAGGATTTCTTGGGCTTTGTGGTGTAAGAACGGATGCAATTGACTACTATAGTGAAAGCATCTAGGAAATTGACAAATACGTAAGTCCATTATATTTCCTAAGAAGTTTCCTGCATCACTTCAGACATAAGTACTTCACAAGGTATTAATGTATGGATGTTAATGAGAGAGTAAGGTACATCATCATATTGATTAACCATGAGCCTTTAATAGATGCATTTTCATATGAAAAAACTAATTTCCAGCTTTGTTCTGAACTTTTCTTTTGTCTTTTGGTTCAGTTAGTAGCAGAGCGTCAGATAATTCTCAAAGATCCAAAAGCTATCATGCCTGTAGCATTTGTTTCATTTGACTCGAGATGGGCTGGCTGCTATTTGTGCTCAAACTCAACAAAGTAGGAACCCAACACGCTGGTTAACTTACTGGGCACCAGAGCCACGCGATGTTTACTGGAAGAATCTAGCTATACCATTTGTTTCTCTCAGCATCAGAAAACTGCTTATATCATTATCTGTGTTCGCTCTGGTATTCTTTTACATGATACATATTGCTGACATGCAGTCACTGGAAAATCTCGATGGTCTGGAAAAGGTGGCTCCTTTCCTCAGGCCTGTGATAGAGCTGTAAGTACTTCTGTCTTGGGATTTTAATAAAATGATGAATAGGTCACTAACTTAGTTTACTTAAGCAGGGCAGAATGCTTGTTCTTTGTCTAATTTTATAATGATGTCTTGGGATTTTAATAAAATGATGAATAGGTCACTAACTTAGTTAACTTAAGCATCTGAGAAGATCAAATGAACCTTATTTTTGACTCAAGTATCAATTTATTTTAAGTTTGCACATTATTGTTGTACGTGTTTCTGAATAAAGTAATTCATTGATGAGATAGATGCAATTGCTTCCAAGCGAGAAAACCTGCAAAGGGAGATGGAACGGCGGATAGTAACACAACATATGACTTGCATGGATGTATAACATCACACTCAGTCTTCTGATGATTCCCAAAAACATCTGAGAAGAAGCTTGGTTATGTTCTTGTTATCGGAGCAACAAACTAACAAAATGCAATTGACCAACCTTTAAGGAGAGCTGGACGGTTTGATCGTGAGAATTCTTTGGGTGAACCTGATGAAAAAACCACTACTAGAGATCCTGTCAGTTATTACTCGAAAATGTAAATGTGTGTTTTGGAGAGAGTGGAGTCAATGAGATATAGTTTTATATAATAATTATGTCCTTTTGAACTTTTAAGTGTTTCATAAAATTACACGCTGAGTATTGCATGATTGCAAGGTTAGGTGATCAATGAATTCCTATTGTTCAATTGCATTGCAAATGAGCATGGTTTTGGTTGGGATATTCACATGAGTTGGAAAGAAAAAAAAATGTTGTTTGTCTAACTTTGTTTTGGATGAATCCTCAGGTACAAGTTCATGTGAAAATAAACTAAACAATATGATGCTTTTTGTTATATGTCATGGTATCTGTAGAATTTGATTTTCGTTCAAATAGAGTACTACCTTATGTAGAGTATACAATTAAGTAATTAACTATGATTTAAATTTATCTACAGGGAAGTTCATGTTTTTATCAATCTATTTCCAAGGGTTAACTTCATGACCGATATAATTCATCAATCTAAAGGGAAACACAAAGTTCAGAATATTTTGCTTGGATTTAAATCTACATCTTCAAACATTACTTTTAGATATATTCTTGTTATTGTATTTGATTGATCAATCAACTTGTAGATACAACCACTCCAATATCGCATAATTGATGCTTAAATATAAACGTATTATTCAAACATTTTTAATTTTTAGCTTATGTTCATATATATTGTGTACATTCATTAAATTTATACCAAATCTTTCCATAAATATAATTATAATTAAAATTAATATTATAAATTTTACCACGTGCATTGCACGTGCAATCTAACTAGTGAAAATAAAAGCCCTAGTTTCAGCATTGTAAATAAAAATAAAAATAAAAAGAAATTTGTTTCTGTTTTGAATAAAAATAATAAGAAATTTGTTTCTGTTTTGAGTGAAGGGCATGAAATGAAACTTAAAGATTGTCTTAAAGTTAGAAGAAATTTGATTTCCATTTTCTAAATTTTATAGTAGTGATTTTCTATTTTCTTGTAAAATAGAATTTCTATTAAAAGTTTAGAAATTGCTTTGTTGATAATTATGAAATTAAAACTGTTTATTTTCATGATTGCCACCCTTAACTCTTATGTAATGTAATGTTATTGGAATTGATAAATCTCTTAAAATATAGATTGGATCAAGGTAATCCAACTTATCTTTGGCACAAAAATACAAGGTCATGTTAATGTTGATAAGATCAATAAATTGATAAAGGATAGTCCTTTGATTTTTCTAAATTAGAATATTTCTCAACTTGTAAATATTGTCTAAGAGACATATGACCAAACTATTTTTCTAAAATAGTGCTAAAGCTCTTGCGTACTCTTGACTTCATACATGCAGATGTATATGATCCTTTAAATGTTAAAGCAATAGTTAAATATTCTTATTTTATAGCATTCATATATGATGTATTTATATATTAATATATTTATGTGATTGCATCATAAATTAGAATGTTATTAAAGTTAAAGAGGAGTTTGATAAAAGTATCAAAATCATTTGATTTGATCCAGATGGCAAGTTCCTAATTTTAGGAATTTAAGAGATTTATGAACAAAATGGAATTGTTAGTACTTTGACATCTACTAATTTATCACTCCTAATTATTTGTCTGAAAGATGGAACTAAACCTTATTCGATATGGTTAGGTTTATGCTGGGCATTAACCTGTTCTTATTTTCTAATAGGTTATGCATTGGAGATTGCATATTATTTATTATGTAGAATTCCTGCCAAATCTTTTTCTTTCACTCCATATTAGACATGGATATGAAGAAAATTAAGTGTATGACGCTTGGATATCTGGAGTTGTCATATTCTCATCAGAGAATAATATATGGACAAAATGAGAGTCTAAGGTAAATAACATCCTACTAGTAGGTTATCCTAAAGAAAGTACTAGGTATTATATTGATAATCCTAGCGTAGTTTTCAGACAATAATTATTACTAGAAATATGTTCTTTTATAAAGTCAAGCTTGATAATTAGGATTTATATAACTCAAGAAGAAAATTTGTTTTCTTTAGTGGGAGAGTTATTTAATCCAGTGGGAGAAACTTCAAATGAGTTGAAGATTGTATAAATTTAGTGGGAGCTTTAAGTAATAAAGTAAATGGAGATTTACTTACTAAATTTATTGTTGAATACACTGATTACAATTAGGAGATCAAATAGGATTTTCATCCACCTGTATAGTACAGTAGCCTTGTTAAAATATATTTGATGAAAAGTAACAAGGAGAATAAAAATCCTAAAACTTACACAAAAGTCATGTTGGACATGATTTCATGTAAGAGACCTGATATCATATTTGATGACAAACGGGTTTTAATTATTGAAGAATCTTTTCCTCTAATTATAATATTATAGTTCATAAGGATCCATTTAGTCATTTCAACGTGTTATGAATATAAGATATCAATAAATGGATTTTAAAATAACCTTCTTGAATGGATATCTTTAAGAAGATATTTACATATTATAGAATCAAGTATGTAAAATTCAAGAAGATAAAATTGATTAATTGAATCAATTAAAGTTATGAACTTAATCAATCAAACATTCATTTTGATGAAATGTTTAAGGAAATTGATTTTAATCATATCCTTAAAAAAAATAATGTGTGTATAAGGAACAATAAAGTAAGTTCATTATATTCCTATCATTGCATGTTGATGACATATTGCTCATTAAGAATGATATTTTAATGTCATGAGTTATGACATATTGCTCATTAAGAATGATATTTTAATGTCATGAGTAAAAGTAAGATTTAGTTCTTTATGAAGGATTTTCTTTTGACATTCTATATCGTAGATCTTAAACTCTATATAGATAAAGAAATAGATATATAGAGTTGTCACAATCTACTTATATGGAAAAGATCCATAAAAGATTCAACTCAACAAGATTCCAAGAAAGGAAAGGTTCCTATAAGACATAAACAATCTCTCTTTAAGGAAATGTGTCCCAAAAATGTTGTTATTGATCTTGTAAGTAGTTTTCAATCCAATCATAATAATAGAAAGTCTGTTTCGGGTTATATTTATATCATTAATAATAATAGCAGAATATGTAGTGCCATGTTAAATCATTAAAAGAAGGAATATGGATTAATGAGTTATTCCATAAGCTTAATATTATTTCTTGTAATAATTTCTTTCTCATTATTATTTGATAGTAATGGAGCTGTTGCAAGAAGCTTAGAGAGAAAAATTATCTTATTAAAGGTTAATAAGAAGAAATATGTTATGGTTTAATAGATGGCTGAGCAGATAACATTTAATGTCCTTTTATAGACCATTGTCTTAAAATGTTTTTGACAGATGGGAGTAAGGATTATATCTGATTGGATGTTAGGGCAAGTGGGAGATTGCTGGAATAGTAATAATAATTTGCCCTTGAACATCCAATACAAATTATGTAATAATATTGTAATGTTAATAAATTTAATTGTTGCACATAATTTGGTTATTATTTATATAATTGTTATATATATCCTTAGAAGTTATTTTGTTAGATCATGCACTGTGATGGTCACTTGCTTGGATATATGATCTAACTTAGAAATTTCTTAAATTTGTGCTTAACATATAACTAGTAAAGGATAACTTTGTTATAACAGGTTATTATGCATGACATCGATATATGAGATATGGTGGTGGGTCTCAACCATCGGGAATGGAGATTCTCCGGGTGTATGTCATAAGCACGCATTATGATGTGTGTAGCACTAGACCGTATTTGAATTCTCTAGGATGAGTCACCTAAGAGATAGAGAGTTCAAATTGTTACATGGTCCCTTTGACTTGATGATATTATCATTTTCGATTTGATAATTTAGTATGCTTTGATGTGATGGTTAAGCTTGTTAAGCAAGCGCTACACAACCTGAAACATTGAGTTGCTAAATTTTATTTAGGAAAATGATGGATGTCTAGATAGGATCCAGTATGCTCATTATGATGAGTTAATTTATTATGCATTCCCATGAAGCTATTAAATTCCTGCCGGCAGGTGGTTTTGAAAATATTTTAAAAAAATTTATTTTCTTATAAAAAATAAAATATTTTGATGTTCCAAAATAGTTTTTATTTATGTTCATGAGAATTGCAAATTTAGGCATGAGCAAATAGGTGAGTTGTCCTGCTTAAAAGAGTTGCCTAAAATAAATGATACTGGAATAGATTGAATGTAAGATATTATTTATTAATAATTAATCTCATATTATGGAAGAGCTTTTATGAACAATTGGTCGGATAGGGATTTGATTGTTAAATTAAAATTATTAATTTGATTAATAATTGGTTCTCGATATGGGACCCAATTGGTCTCACTAATGTCATTAGAAGAGGTATACATGCAATGCAATTCTATTTCTATCCTTAATTGTTATGGATAAAGTTTTTGAATAAATCTATTTCTATCCTTAATTGTTATGGATAAAGTTTTTGAACAAATCTATTCTATCCTTAATTGTTATGGATAGAGTTCTAGATAATTATGAATTATTTAAAGTTAAAATATCTAAGACTAGTGTAATCCTATAAATAGGGTTCATATGTAGCCTTATGAGAGTAAATAGAAGAGATTGAAAACCTTATGAAGATAATATGAAGAAATAGATTTTTGAGAATCTATCTCTCAGTATTGCTCCTCTACGGTGACGGGTGGATTTCAATTGGAGGCTTTTTCTCTTGAGGAAGCTATTTTGGATTGATCTCGGGACAGATTATTGTAGAAATTCGGAAAGCGTTTCAGGTATTCTTCTAATATTTAATTAATTTTGATTAATAGTCATGATATGTTTTTTCCGCTGCGTTGTATGTCATGATTCCAACATTTAATACTTAGGATGTCAATCAGAAATTTGTATACATCATATTCAACTCTCTTAGCTTGCTTGCTGATCTTAAAGTAGCATGAACTGCTTATTAATGCTCCTAGAGAAATGTCTTAATTTGCAACTACCACGGGGTTTGGATGTATATGTTTTTATATATGAGGCCATAAATGTCACCATTTCCTCCAAATTAGTGGTTGGACAAGTGTATGTGCATCAATGTGCCGATTCAAAGTTGTGAGGAGTATGGTTAAATTTTCACACTA